AGAGAAAAATAGTAGTCTCGGGTGGAACAGAACGCAAAATGAATCTAAAATCTGATCGTTGTGGTATTTCAGTGGCATAAGACAAAAAGTAAAATTGTCACACGCCCCCATATAAGTCAGTCAGCCTGTACTAAATTGACAAGACGGATGCACCGACAAATATTTACTCCACTCTCAGATGCAAGAATCAGGAATATATGACAAAATTAGTTTATTACAATTCTTTCGCTGTGGTGGGTGTAAAAATTTAAATATATAATATTGTCATCTACACCTTTTAAAAGCAATTTGTATGCTTGTCATTTATTTATATGGCTAATGATATATGCATTGTTTCAGTTAACAACGCTATGTGTATGAAACCGTTACGCGTTGCCGTAAATCATCACAAAAACAAACCGCATTTAATTGTCTCTTTTCTTCGATATATATTTCAAGTGTGTATATGCTTGTGTGTGCTTGTCTGTATAGGATCTTCTTCATTGTATCATATTTCATATTCATAAATATATCGACGATATATATATATACATATATATATATATATATATATATGTATATGTGGATTCATTCAGATCACAGATGTTACTTTGTGGAAGATCGCTAACGTATTCGTTTCATAAGTAGTGCAACCAGTATTACCCTCCTACTATTGCTTCAAATTACTTTTCAAAAAAAAAAACTTATTCTTTTTATTTAATTAGAGAGCGTTAAGAAAGGCTGAAACGCCTTAACTAATCTATTATTGAAAAGATGAATAAAGAGATTTAAGTAGGTGTGGGAAAGAGGTATGAAGTTAATATGATTTAATACGTTAAACAAAGTGCTTCTCTTAAAAAACGACAAAATTTCAATGGCTTCTTGAATAAGTTTCTTAGTTGTGTAAATGGTCTTGTCCGGAATATATGTGTGATAAAACTTTTTCATGTTAATGAAATTCTTATTCTTCATGTTAGCTATTATAAGCCTTTGGCACAAGTTCCTTGTCATTCGCTAGGTTCGCTAGGTTATAAATTAGAATACCTTTTTAAATTTTTCGAATTTTTTTCGCCCGATTTTCAAGATTGATAAATATTTTGGACAAGAAATTTATGTTAAACGTAGCTTGAAAATTTCAAAAAGATCCAATGGTGATAAGCATTCAAAGCTACAATCGAAGATTTACAAGTACTAGGTAGAATGTTCATCTCAACGTCAATAACAAGATATCGAAAATGTAATTGCTATGAATATACCAGTTTTAAGGAATCATTCGTAAATGTTTGATTGGGCTTGGTTCTCCTATGGCGTCCTGGAACAAAGAACGACTCCATATCCAATTGGCTGAAGGGAAGTTTAGTGTTAATAATGGGGTTGCCGTGGTGGCACGGCTTACCCGTCAAAAAGCAAGAGGACCAGACCGGCTACCGAAATCTTACAAATGTGCAACCGCCTAAAGAACTTGCAGGTTTTTAAACATAAAAAAGGATTCAAAAAAGTGGATGATTTCCGACTAATAAATGATATGAATTAGGAAATTGAGGAAGAGTCTGAAGAAGAGTGCACACCATTCGGGCCTGGTGAAGAGGTGTTTGCAGACTTCCGCAAACTGCAACTAAGGTATCATGAAGTTAGATACCTGCGACTGTTCACGGCTTACGGAATAACACGCTACATTCGTGAACAGTTGAATTGCCGTCACTGCCTTCGAGACATGACGGAAGAGAGCGACAACTTTTACGAGGAGGTGATGGCTCAAAACACAGCAAAAGACCCCATAAATAACATTAGCATAACAATCGAACATATTAATCCAGTGTACCCGAAAGTGGAGGTGAACGTAGCATTCGACCTAGCGTATGAAGTCTTCAATGGTCTGTATAATGGTTTTTTGTTAACGATCCGGAAGAAGCTTAACAATTTAGCGAAAACTTGGCTTAAAATAAACTTCAACCACAAAAACGAAACCATACAAAATTTTTAAGGTAATTACAGAGGCCCCTAACTAATGATATGTAACTTCTGTCAGGTGTTAACTCAAGTCGTATCAACATACAAGAAAAAAGCTTTTCATTCCACAGAGTATTTTAAGCACATATAATACACAATACTACGATGTTTTGGACTGTACCAAAAAAATGAATGACATGAAGTGTGGCAAAGTTTTTCCTCCTTAGTAGAATCAATTCGCACTATTTGGCCTTTGGTGGTAGAACAGAACAATGTCAGTCTCTTAAAATGAGTGAATAAGCACTTCTCTGCGAAAAGGAGCAGATGTGTCAAGATAAAATTATGACTTACTACTACTTAATCATCTTCAATATCACATCCGTCTAACATTCGCAGTGTTCACCGTGTTGTACCGTTTCTATCTTTCGGAAAGTATTCAATTGGCATTCCCTTCGCATCCTAGTCCAAGTTCCAAGTCGTATTTTTGCATTTCTAAATATCTCCAATGAGCACGGAAGAGCGTACAAAGTAAGTATACTAAAAATCATCGCAAGATTATGGAATGATTTACCAATTTGTCCTTCATCCCGTAGCCTCAAAAATTTAGAACAAAAATCGATAGTGAACATATTTCTTCCAAAAGCCATTAGTATGTCATCCAAAGATATCTCCGTTTGATTCGAATATATGTTACTGTATTTTCCGGACTACAAAACGCACCTCCTTGCATAGACAAAAGAGCTCAATTTTTGGATGCATCTTATAGTCCGAAGGTCCGAATATTTTTTCAATAAATCGTCTCTAACTTTAAGATGTGTCTTATATATATGTTCAGATGAAAGCGATACGAAAGGTGACGTAAACGCATCACACGAGTGATAGTACCGAGGGTGAAGATGAGCTAAATATTGCTACTACGACATTAAACATATATTTTTCTAAAATATTATCATCTTATAAATTTGAAGTGCATCTTATAGTCCGAAAACTACGGTAATATTAGTTCATGTGTAAGTTGTAAGTCATTTAAAAATCGAAACCTTCCACCTCAGTGTTTTCTAAACCGATTCGCTTTCATTGCCCCGTAAATTACAACAATTATTTCAATTAATTATATATATATATATATATATATATATTAATAATAATAATACTTTTTGTTAAGGCATGCATATGTAGCTGGCATTCATTCAAACAAACACATTTGATTTGCGTTCGAATGAACAGAGGAGACTGGTATGACTTGTTTGAACATTACTTTATACAGTTGATAAAGCTGTTGTATTAAACATGCCTATAATTCTCAAATGAATTATAATTTTACGAACATAAGTAGACATTGAGAGAGTTTGAAATTTATCGCTTCTCGGCCTTATGGCTAAGATCAAAGTGTAGTATCTGTTCTTATCAGCTTAACATCTGATAGCTCCTCCATCGGAGGACAAACAAATGTTAAACTTATTTTTGTCTATAGACGGAATGTTAGGGGCTTGCTCCACTTCTGTCGCGGGTTGGCCCGGCATTGCAGTGCCGCCGGAGTTCCGGCCCAATTATTAATAAATATGAAAGTGGATTAGGGAGAACGTTGTTGGGTCGATTGGCAGATAGGAGTAAGTAGACAAAATCGGGCTTAAATGATTTTTTCGTGCATGGCATTTGTTGTTTTGCTGTGAGAGACATGTTTTTTTGCCGGCTTCTGTTTGCTGTGCGCGCAGCATTTATGGTTGAAAGAGATGTGTGCAAGAATTATGTATCATTTTCTTCATGTTCCAAAGGCTATGTTTTTTAATCTATCTATACTATCCCGAAAGTTGTTGAAAAGTTATTTTTCCTTCTAAAAGAAAATTTGGAAGAAAATGTTATTTTGTGAACTGTTAAGAAATGGATGCAGATGTTATGGAAAGATTAGTTTTATTTACGGCTGAATAGGTCTGTCTGTCTACTCAGAAAAACTGGTGTAGTTTGTGCTAACCACTGAAGAAAGGCCACTCACGACTGATAAATATGCGAAATGACATTTCGGGATGACCGATGCTTGGCTTATATTGCGAAACTTGCCCAAGGAATATTAACTGCATTTAAGTGGGATATGCTGGCACCATCCTTCCATTTCCCACATTATCTGCTTCAACCGACGATTTATTGGCGGTGTTACTGTGCGAAATCTCAAAGAAGCAAAGCAAATTTTGACATTCGTTTAACCCCTAAGGTCACGAGAAGGCATTTTTAATATCAAACACGTATGTACGAGAAAATCAAATTTTATTGAAGAATTAATGTAGTGTCCAGGTAAAAGCGAGCCTGTGGAAAGGATACAAATGAATAGTTTAATCATATTTATAAGGACCTGACTCAGTGAACTAAGCGTTATCAACTGCTAAGCAATTCGAAAATTCTCCGGGAGGTTGCAATTCATGGTCCGTGACCTTTTTTTTGTTCCTCCAGGTCGTTTTTTTTTTCATTAATATCACAATCAACGCTTTTCAAACGTTGAAACATTAAGCCTCTGAACGTGTTTGGCGGGTTTCGGCAGCAGATTTCTTCAAATCAGGCGATAAAAGCAGTAAAAGTCGGAAATGCAATTTGGAGTGCTTCATGATTTACCATACTTTGTAAGCTGAATAACTAAATCGAAAAATGTTATTTTAGGTAGAGAAGAATCAAAATCATTGAATTTAATCGTTATGTACACTGATAGTTTTCATTTCTTTACAACGTTTCAACATGTAGTAGTCGCCAACCATCTAATATATGTGTAGATGTTCCAACGTTTTGTTCACAATTAAGGTTAGGAAATTTTTGTGTATCGTTATCACGCTGTTAATTAACCGTTCGTACGTTCTCTCTTTCTTTCTCATTGTTTGTACGAGCAAAGACGCTGTCAAAACTTTCTTGATGTGACATCGCATTCCCTCAAACGTTTGCAAAGGAGAAACATACACATACACAGTTTGGTATTTGTAAGTGAATATGGGCTACGGTATTCGCATATAACTATGTATTGACGAAAAACGACTAGACATGGTGTAAGCTTGTAGCAAAAATAATTTGTTTCTTCACATCAAATATATTTGTTTCTTTATATCGTATATTTTGAAGAACTTAAAAATTCTAAGCTCTTTGATCGCCCAAATGCTTTGACAAATCTCAGTGGACTTAAAGTGTACTTATCGCAGTTGACTTTTGATTTTATTGTCATTTTAGATGCCAACTGTCAACTCAACTAATTCATTTAATCATCATTCGTCGTTGATATAAAATTTGTAAATTTATTGAGAAATTTCGTTAATGAAAATATGGCTAACAAGATTCTAATGGTTTGTTCGGGTAAATAATGATAAAAGAATAAATTATTTCGCAAATTATTTCTGCTTGACTGACTGTCTGCCTGTTTATTCGCATATCCAAAGGTAATAGTGTCTGTTCACCAATTGCTGAAGCGGTTATGGCCGACATTATCGAAGAGGCTGGCATGAGCTATTGCTGGCAGGTACGCAGCGCTGCCCTGGTCGGTTGGCATTCTAATTATCGCTGCGATGAGGAGCCTTTATGTGTTTGCACGGATGATGGTATGCTTTTTTTAAATCGACCCAGGCAAATGATATGGGAGGACTTCGAGCGATTCGATTATATATTCGGCATGAATAAGGAAATTGTAAAAGATTTGAAACGCGTGGCTCCGATAAAATGCAAAGACCGAATTCAACTACTTGGTGATTATGGTTTGGCGAAAAATGAAAGCATTATTGATGATTCTCATTACGTATGTCAAATGACGGATACAGTTAATAGTTTCACTTTTACAATTCTTGTATTTAGGAAAACGGTAATGAGGACTTGAAAAAGGTTTATCAGAAGTGCACAATAGCGTGTAATGCCTTTCTTGGAGAATATGCCGAGTTAGTACAAGAGATACGCGATTAGAAGTTTTCTTAGTAATTGCTTCTACGTCACATAAGTATCTCATTCTCGTCTTTAAAATCATCCAAAAAAATTACGTAAACACAATCGGACCATTAGAGGAAAACAGTGCCAAAGTTCTCTATGCTAATTAATATCATGTAAATATTTAAAAGAAAACAATGTTGAGTTCTTTTCAAAACAAATGACAATCGAAAAATAATAAAAAAACTTTCCAATGGGAACGCTACGTGTACTTCCTTCTCCTTAAATATGCGCAAAGCTTGTGGAGACATTTGGCGTGTTTACAATTCGCGATAAACATATGTTCCAATCTTTTTTTATCCAAAATTGGAATTTGAGCAACCAACCGGGGGAAAAAAAGTCATAAATACGACTTGTTACTGCTTCTAGGGAAACTTTGTAAAAGATGATTAGTTTTTCTGATCCCGTAATTAAATTACATGTGGGCCGTCGAATCCACCCGATCAGCGCTTAGCAAAGCTTAGTACTGACATAGCTTGGACGGGATTTGACGGAAGGCCCAAATTAAAAGGCGAGACTAGTTGGACGTCATCTACGTTAAAGGAATAAGGGTGGAGAGGAAAATTTGCTTAAAATAAACTGTAAACATAATAATATAATCTGAAAATTATTTTTTTCATTTTTTATTTTATTCCCCCATTTTTTCCTACCTCTAGTTTTCGATAATATTCGACTTTTGAAGAATACTTTAATATAAGGTAAAGTGAAGATTCTGCTTCTTTTTCTAGAATTCCGCAAATTAACAACAAATGATTCACGTTGCACATATCGTAAATATTTCATATCATAACTTTAAATGAATTGGCAGCACTTCGTACCTGCTGACAAAGACTCAAATTCATATTAGCGTACCCCTTGAATACTCATGGCTTGAATTTTGAAGTAACGTTTAAAATAATTTATTTTTATAATCTTCAAGTTGCGCGACATCTTTCTTTCTCTTATCTTAAAGCCCAAAACTATTTTATAATTCTGAGATCGCTAATTATAAGAAGCGAAAGCAATATTGGTTGTACTCAGACTTTGAAGGCATTTCTCTTACATTGATTATAAATTCCTTTGCGAGCACATAAAGGAAACTGTGATCGCGACGTATTCACATAGATATCTGTAACTACGAAACATTTGGGCGATTTTTATTTACTTACTTTAGGTTAGGATGGTTGCTACACTAGATTCTTCTTAAGACACAAATGAAAAATTTTCTTTTTCTTCATAAATACTCCATAAATTTCCGTCCTCTTATATGTTATAAATAATTTTTCCATATTCCATATGATTTTTTATTAGAGTTATTATTCTATGAGTATTTTGTTGTAATGTTGTTCTTGTAATCAATGTCACATTGTTAATAATATTTTGACAATATAAGAACAACTCTCATAAAATGACACCATAAAATAAAGAAAATTAACAAAGTAAGTTATTAATAGTTAATATAACAGTACTTTCCATTTAATTACGTGACAATCCATGAATTCTCCCGTGAATTGTAAAACAGCTCCTGCTGCAAAGTGACACTAGCACAGTGTCAGGAATATTGATATTTTGAATAATCGTGCGAAAGATACTCAAGTTGGGAATTGTATATATAGTTAAATATGTAAACATGGGTTAGGGTAAGAACAACAGCAATTGGAAATGTGGCTGACGTAAAATAAAGGAAATTTTTTTAAACTGAATTTAACAAGAAATTCTAGATATTAGCAAATGGTCCAGATCACAAGTGCAGATTTATATATCTCGTCTTTTCTCAACTCCTGTCTCTCCTCTGCCTTTCATTTATTACAAGCAGTCTTCCCCGTCTTTTCATTTATAAAGCTACGCTTTAAAGTAGCCGCGACAGCGTCTCTTAAAACAAAAAAAACAAAGCCACAAAAAAACCTTATCATGATCTCCAGACTTATAATATTTGATAAGGCAGACTTATAATATTTGAGTAGAAAATTTTCAGAAACCTGCACTAAAAATTTACGAGCCCATACAATTTAAAACATGCTTAGGCTTTTTATATATCTTCTGCCCAAAATCCGACATGTGACACGATGTGTATTCATATTTTCTGACTCTTCGTCTTTTTTTAAGGTTCTTGCTTTCCTTTTCATGTTTTTTACTCTCTTCTGTACGTAGCTTGCCGCCATCACTAGAAGAAATAAACAGTAGAACGTGGACTGAAATGGATTGATCAAAATTTCAGCTTGTAATCCCTTTCTGCCATTGATTCTGGCCGTAGTAGTTAAGGTAAATCCTTATTAACGTTTATTTCGAGAAAGTGCCAAACGAATATTTTATTGATGGTAATGTTGCCCGTTATTATTAAATAACTGGTTAGGAGAGTTTTCCTGCTTGGTAGGTTTATCCTAACTTTTTAATCTTTCTCCGTCAAGCAACTGTACGCTACTCTGGTTACTCTGGAGAGTTTTTCTGCTTGGTAGGTTTATTCTAACTTTCTAATCTTTCTCCGTCAAGCAACTGTACGCTATCTCTTCTACTTTAGGTCTCCTATAAATCAATATCTGAGTTTTTCAATATAGTCACCTGATGGGAGAAGTGTGGCGGCGTTCTCAAGTTTTGACGACTCAATCGAGAAAACCCTTTTGTTCGTATCTGAAATTAGCTGACATTCATAGCTCTCTGCCTGCATGGTTGCTTACAACATAAAATCGGAACACATAAAGCCATCATCTTCGTTGCTATAAAGTGAAAAGCATCTAAGCGAAAGCTACTGTACAGTATATTTATACTTTCTTTTTCTCTTTTTTTCCTCTTCCTTTTTTATTTTTTTTTTTCATTCACATTTTCTCCCCCAAATTACATCAAGAGCTTGCCGTACAAGAAAATAAGACGATACCTGTTGTTATCGTTGTTCTTTTTATTGCTTGCTGTTAGTTTGTTTATGATTTTGTAGAGACAACGGAAGTGATGTGCCCGCTAGAGAAATGAGCGCAACAACGATAAAGATATTAATGAGATCCTAAGTGTTGATTTGTAATGATTACGTGTTGTGTATAGCGTTTGCCAAGAGCTTATTGCAAAAGACAAAAAATATTTATTTAACCAATTATTTTAATGACAATTTTTGTTCTTGCGTTTACATTTACATTTTTGATCAATTAAAATATCGTAACTTTCTATCCTTCATTTTCATCTTATAACAAGATAAGTATACAGTGCTTAACGACGAGCAAACTTAGATTATCAAATAATTCGAAATTATTTGTTAACGTAATTCATTTTTTAATTATTGACCAAACGGAGTGATTTCTCATAGCGAAAAGGTCTTCTAAAGTAGCAGAACGACGTTATATATGGCAGATCGGTAATTACTTTACATAAATTACTTGCATCTGCGTACATTTACATTTATTTACGCAATCCATGCTCATGCATACTTTGTTCAGATCAAGTCGGCGGCGTGATAGACTTTGATCTTGTCAAAGAGGCGAAAATAAATTGCTCAATTATGAATTATTAACTGGTTGCGTTCACTTCCAAAATGCTAATAATGCTTGGAGCGTAATCGGAACGATGTAACATATTACACAGGCACGCAACCGCCATCTTAATGCCTTCTTTTGCCAGTTAAAAGACAAAAAAGAAGAAGAAGAAGAAGAAAAAAAAAAAAGAAAAGAACCAAAATTAATTACTCATTTGTATTGATGTCGGTCGCTATTAATTAAGTAGACAACTAATTGCATTTTTAGTTTGTCGTTATTGTGATGGATCTGCGGTAAGAGGTGGAGGTCGGGCGGGGAGCGCATAGCTGTGTCAACAGGATATCTCTAAGGAATTTCTTTAGTGAATAATCATCCAATGCCATAAAAGAGAAACTATAAATAACTGTATATTTTCGTCGTTCCACTAGTTGCTTATTTAAAGCATTTCCCCCACGTGTTTTCCGATAGCCTGACAGATAGTGAAATCACTTGAATTAAAACAATTTATTATCGTTTTTTTCTTCTTTCTTTTTTTTTCTAGTTGACATTTTGACATAATGTTGTGTAGATTGCTTGTTATTGTATTATATACGTATGTATACATATATATAACTAAAAAATTATGTTCTCTGCAGCGGTATCCCGTCTTGTTGTGTCGCTTTGCACTCATCACTGCCAGCTAATTAGATTATTTGTCAATTTTAGTGGTGATATATATTCTTGTGTGTGCGTGTGTACTTAAGATTATTTCCCTCTTCTTTCTTCGCTTTTCTTTTTTCCCTTTTTATGACCATGTGTACAAACTTGTTGCTTGGTATGTGCGTGTGTATGTTGAAAGAAAATCTGTACTGGAATATTTAACCCGAAATAATACTCCAAGTGTTGATTGGTTAATTTTTTGTCAAATTTCGTTTTAATTAGATTTCAATGATTTCAAAAGAGAATTAATGAAAAAGAATACATCCTTTGAGCAAAGCAGTTGTTGATGAAAACAGAGTGAAATGGAAAAGGGTTTAAGTGCTCAAAAACGTCCGCAGCTCATGGGGTTAAGTGTTTATAACATTTAGGTAGAACTCGGAGAGCATCTGTAGCTGCACAGATAAAAATCAATTTTCTTCTTTTTTTTCATCAAACGAATGAAATGAAAGTGTACAAACATCCATCGATGAAATTTCGTTTGCGGCATAAAACTAGACTTACTCTACATTAAGCAGCTCTTACAAGAATAGAGAGAGTCTTTAAAGAAGCCTTTGACGATATTATGAAAAGTGGAATAAATTTGGCCACAGAATGCATATATGTGTTAAGAGTACTCAACTAGATATACTAAAACTGAAAATGTTATAAAGAGGGAGGTAAAGCTAAAATAAAATCTGCAAATATTTAGGAGTAGGGCACCTATAATCATAAAGAACTACTGGAACGTATTTGCTGTAGTTTCCAAGTCAATAGCGCGATGTTTTCTTTCTAAAAAAAGAAAACAAATTCTGAATAATGAATAACTGTAATTGAAAGCGAATTCTTTTATATCTAGTCCTTCTAGTCGAGTCATTAGACGAAAGAATAATTTTCCGGCGAAATTTCATATCACTATTCAGAAAGATCTCAAAATATTGATAAAAAATTGAAATAAAACATTTAGAAGCTTTGTGCCCTACAACACTTATAGTATAAGGGTATGTTAGCTATTTGCGACACCCGG